GGGCAAGGCCTATGCTAACTTATACAGGGACTGTTATGGGGGTTTTTAGCGGGGGATGCTAGGAGTTTTCACTATAGCTAACAAGGAGCCCCGCAAGGGCCCTTAGAATGAACAGTGCCTTTTTGAAAGGAGGCTAGTCGGGGTCCCACATTAGCTTAAGTGGACCTAGGTGTTATATGGGGAGATCGATAATTGCGCTCCCTCACCCCCACGATGACAGATAGTCCGAAGATCGTACCAGTATACAAGAAGAGGAATATCCATAATCCCAAAAAAACTCAAACCCCCAAACCCAAAAAGCTGAGGACGTGGGGTTTTCATTATCAGGAGAGGGGACTCGGGTCAAGCGTTGAGGGGTAGGATCAGAGAGTGGGGTCCATGCCTTGGGGTGTGGGCTTTAGAGTCTGGTGGGATTTGCTTTTCAGGTTCTGTAGGGTGTATGGGGCTGGCGCGTCTGTGTAACCAGAGAACACTTCCCTCCTTTGAATAAACGTCAAGAAAAAACATACCTTCATTGCATCTTGATACTATGGAGGGAGCATCTAACATCATTCGGTTTTCGAGATATGGATGCATGAGGGGTCCCAAACACGCACAAACAGCTTGAATGTTTTGGGGGGAGGCTTTCTTGAAGGAAGGAGAAGGGAGTGAAGGGAGCCTGGTTTTGCCCGAGTTTGAAAGTTTAGCGGATTTACTTGCAGATTGTTGCTGGGCCAAGACCTTAGGCTGGAATCCAGACGACATTCCTAGAAATTCAGATTGCTGCAGGCATGCGTGTCTGGCAATGTAGAAGCCTGAGTACTTACCAACATTTTTTGCTGGCCATCTTGTTGTATAGTGTAGCCCAAAAGCCTATGTATTCTGCAGGCCCTACATTACGTCCGAATTTTCCTTTTCCGCATACTTTCCATAAGGTTCTTTACTTAGACCGCTAAATAGCTCCTCCACTTTTCTCGCAGAAACCTTCCATTTCTTGAAGCACAGCTTCAGCAGAGGGACCAAAGACTCAGCCTTGAACTAGGGTTTGGGGGTTCAGGGAAAGGGTTTAGGTTTCTAGTTTACAGGGGCATGTTGAGCCTTGAATTGCAAGCTTTCAATTTTAACTTGTAAGCCCGATCCCGGGTTTTTTGAAACACCAGACCAACGTGAAGTCCCAAGCCTTCAGCTTATCACCCAACATGCTCAGCAGTGAACTCCAAGGTGTGCCTGGCCTGACAGAGAAAGAGTACCGCGATTCCATGATGCAAATGTCCCAGCAAGACAGCTACGAGTAAGCCATAATCTTTGGATTTCATGGTCTTGGGCTGAAGATTCTATCACCCCAAGAAGGGAGCATCAAATGGAAATGAACGTGGAACATGAAGTGGAAGCTCAGCTTAAGGGTTTATAAGGACTCGAATCCCGATGCCTGAAGGCTGGAGGGATTCACTTGACAGCGTACTAAAGGGCTTGTTGGCCCTTCAAGCAGAGTGCAGGTGGATTTTGAGGGCTCACGGATTTGTTGTTTTTGCCAGTTTCTGTGTTCAGGCTATTTCAGTGTTTATGGTTTTCGGGCAGGGGTGCTTCCTTTAGAACGTAGACAGAAGCGCAATGCATGGCATCATGTAACACATGGGCCGCAGCTTTCATCCAAAGGTTTAGACAGGCAGTAATTCAAAAAGTTACGGCTACAATGCTGGCCAGTGCTTCGTCAGTCGAAGAGAGCGAGACCTACCTTGGCTTTTCTTGGATCCTTCTACTGTTTGTTTTGCATCAAACATCCTGAACACACCTCAGAGACACATTCCCTGGCTCTTGAGCCATTCTCCACAGATGCGGGAGCTTATCGCAGGGTTTGGCTTCTACTTCCATCATCCTACATAACCTCAAGCGCGCCAAATTGTGACATGTTGCATCCTTTTCCAAAATGCAGTGCCTTCTCCAGACGTGTCAGTTGTTAGGTTTTAGGGTTTAGGTTTTAGGGTTTAGGATTTAGGGTTTAGGGTTTAGAGTTTACGGTCTTCCTGAGTTGTATTACTTCTGGGGAAGAGGCCGACCATTGTAGTCCTTTGATTCTCCGCATAAGGCGCCAGAAGCATCTGCTGGCCCAACAGCCTGTGGGTCAAAATTCCGATCGTCCACAAACAGACCACAAGCACAGCGTGTCTCGCTGAACCTGAGCGGAAACACTGAGCGTGAATTGAGCTCCAGAAGCCTTCTACCTCCTATTTCCTTAGGGATATTATACTTTTCATTGCAGTGTAAACCCTAAGGAATTATTAAACACCTATCTTGACTATAGGTCTCGGGGGATTACGCCATAAACCTGTCCGCTCCTGCACGGGCTCAGGTTCCCAGTGCCTGGACGCACAGACATCTCTCTGGCGAACAACGCCCTGAGCTTAGCTGCCCTTCTCTGTGTAATTGGGAACCCAGACCCCTGGGAGGATCCAAGAATTAGATCCCTTATATAGACCCATTGTAGCCCTATATAACATTTATACAATTATAACCCCTATAAAACACTCCTACAACTTCCCATATGGTTCTGGGGGATCTAATTTGTAGATCCTTTTGGAGGTCTGGGAAGTGCATCCCTGGGTTTGGTCAGATTCTTAGGTTTAGGCTTTAGGATTTAGGCTTTAGGCTTTAGGGTTTCGGGTTTAGGGTTCAGGCTTTAGGGTGTTGGGCTTAGGGTGACTGTCTCCTGTGCCTCCCCTTTTCCTGTTCACTTCAGTGATTCAGGACTGGGTTGCGCAGACCATTGAGACTATGTTTGGCGACTGGGCGGAGGAGAGCGCTTTGGGCTGCAGACAGCGGCTTTGGACTTTGGGCGTTTGGGGTGTCAAAAACACAGGGTTTCAAGGTTTGGAAGATTATGGATAGAGTCCCAGGTTGATGCGTTGGAGCTTGGACTTGCAGTTTACGAGTTCTGGCGGTCCACAGCAGCAAAAAGCCCTACAAGCCACGGTGCAGCACACTGCATGTCAGCCTCCATCCCACCTTCCATATTTAGGCTCAGCATTTAGCCTCATGACTGGATCACACTGTCTAACCCCTAACCTTGTTGGTCAAGGCTTCGAGCCATACTTCCAAAGCACTTGGTCGCTTGTGGTCTTCAACAACCATCCAGTTGGGCCTTCGTAAAGGTGGTTTGTACGATGCTGATGCCAAGTTCAGGGGTTTAAGGCTTAAGTGTTGTGACAAGTGATCCCGATGCCTATCTCACGTCCTTTGGGAGAAGAGGTATATGGAACCTAGAACCCATTACTTAGGTAACTGGAGCCCTGTGAATTGATTGGTTGATGGATGATTGATCCTAAGCCCCAAACCCCTAAACCCGGTTGGGCAATAGCAAGCTGTCTCAAAGGTCTGCTGCAGGCAGAACGAGCGCTTCGCGTCAAAGGTCTCCCAAAGCCTTCATTTTTAGACCAGGACCTGACTTTAAGGGTTTAGCGGCCAGGGGGGCAAGGGCTTAGGGGTTTTGGGGTTTAGGGTGGTCAAGGATGCAAGCGCTTACGGTTTCATGGGATTGCAAGGTCGGGTTACCTTTTGTGTCCCTGTACTGATAGTCGCCGCTTCTAAAATTAGCTCCCGAACCTCAACAGCTTCAGGGTGCCTCAGAGCAGGGTGTGCAGGTAATGCGCAAGACGCTATAGGGCATTACAGAATTTACAAGATGTAACGGAGATCCAAAATGAAACTCCCACAAAGTACTGGCTCACTTGAAGGCCAGTGAAGAACCGGTTTGGGGGTGCCCTTTTCAAAACAGAATGGCCGATACGGAGGTGCATAGGATGAGGGTTCCCATGATTTGTAAGTATTCGTTTTTTTCGAATAGTATCAGACGTACCCACAGGAAGATTGACCATCTTTTGTTGTGGCGTTATGCTGTTAGGGTGCCGGGGCTCCTTCCCCATGACGCAACAAGGCAGCATGGTATGTTAGCAATTTAGATGCTTTTGAGAACGCTTCTTCCGTTTTTCCGAGTGTAAACTTTACGACAACCCTTGAACAGACTATTGTAGAAGCCTGGATGATGCACTACAACCCTGTCCTAAGGATTTAGGCCCCTAGATTACACCTTAGCCATTTTGGCTCAAGCTATTGGTGTTCTCCAGCGCTGCCTTCTGTGCTAGTTTTGTTCTCTCGCATCTGTCGAATATTGAAGCATGGCACACAAGCCCAAGGCAATGGCACGGGGGGTGCAGGAGAAGTTCACCAAAGCATCCCTCCGTGGGACGCTGTATTACGGCCCTAAGAAGGCTAAGGCAGCAGCGCGCAAAGCTGGAAAACGTAAGGCCAAAACCCTCGCCAGATCCAGTCGCTGGCGAGTCTTCTTGCAGAACGATGAGACGCAGGAGGAGGTCAGCATCAAGAAGAAAGGGCTTACGAGGTGGACCTAGCGTTTGTCGCTCTCAGGGTGTGCAACGATCTGTTGCGCGTGCAGAAGGCTTGAAAGAGCTGGAAGGCTTCAAGGCCTACAAGACTGCGGAACGGCTTGGCAAATTGTCAGAGGAGACAGGCGAGCTTGGCCAGTCTGTTGCGGTCCCGCGTCAGATATCCAGTCGCAGGATTCGCAGGAAACCTTGGACAACGTGAACTACTTCTGGGCCCATTGTATCCACAAAAGAGTCCACTGCCTTGGAGGATGTTGAGGCTGACACGTCTTCGCCACCTATTCCGATGGACATCGTCACACAAGACTTCAAGCGTTCCGTGGTCTTGATGCGCAAGGACCTGGTACAAAAATCTCGAAGCGACGACATGGCTCTCCTGGCGGCAAACGACCATTTGAGGCTGTTTCAGAGCGCAGGCTTTTATGATGCCGCTTTCTACATTGCAGTGCGAGACGACCGTAAGCTCAATGACAAACTGCAAGCTCTCGCACAAAGGCTGAGGGAGCACGTGGTGGAGCTACCGGCAATTAACATGGGGAAGCTGCTTTGGCAAGCTGCCTTTGCGCAGCTCCGCCTGCGCCATGCCGCCGTCGTTCTTCAGTCCCGTCTTCCTGATAGTTTGATGCGCATCGACATCTGCACATGCATGCTTTGATGTTCGCTGGGGTTTGAGTGCTGCCTAAGCTAGCTTCAGGCCCCCCTTTGGAAACGGAAAAGGCCCCTAGATTACAAAGTTCCTCCAAACATAGCATGGGATACCGAGCACATGCTTGGTATGATCACGTGTGATCATGTCCCCACATCTCCAGCAATGTTAAGCGAACTGTGTTCATGCACGCCTGGAAAATACAACCTGTTCGGACTCAAAATGGCCCGCAGTATCTATGACGTTGCTGACCTGTTCCTCAAAGGGTCCATATGTACAACAACTAGGGACTTACGCGCCCAAAATACCATACTATACAAGGAATTATGGGTCCCAAATCCCTAATGGGTTGTATATGTTGACCCTTTGAGTTCTATACGCTTCAGGACCCGGGGTTGTCGCTTTCGCAATTCCTGGCTGCTTTGCTTGTTTCTTGCGGATTGCTGATGCTTTGAACGTTGAGACGTGGCTAGCTAGACATATACCTGATTTGAAGTTGGGCTTTTGTTATGGTTTCTGGTGAGTACATAGGGTTTCTCAGGATTGCTGCTGAGTGTATAGGTTTGTGCCCAACTTGGGAGACCATAAGTAATAATATATGGGTCGCTTGAAGTATCAGGAACTGAAGTGGCTGGCGTGTAGATTAGAGAACCCCGCAACACCAATACGTATGCCTGACCAGGACTACTACGAACGCAAGGCTCGCGCAGGGGCCGACGCAATGACCGAAAGTACGTAGTCCGAGTTTTCGATGTGTTATGAGCTTGTGCACCATGGCGCGATTCGTAGCTGGAGCTGTTTTTTTTTGTTTCCCAATTCGGCCGCTTATGAGTCAGGAGGTCTCAATCAAGAAGCTCAAAGGTCTCCTCATGGGGTCTAGGCGTAGGCGGGAGGGCATGGCGGGAGGGCATGTGCTGCTTTGATGAGGAACCCAAGTAAGTGACTTCAAGCACATCCAGTAGAACCCCCACGGTTTGAAGACGAGAACGGACAGTTTTAGATTTAGGCCCTCCCCCCGGCACCAACATTGCCCAGTAGTCCAATCGTGACTGTTGCCGATATTCCGTTTTGCACCTTACGTGGAAAACCCATTTCGTCAGTTGCGGGGGGGGGGTATATGAGGTTTATACTGGGGTTATATTGAGATAATGAAAACAAAAATAAACACTACTATTAGGGTTTATAGGGTTTGCGGTAGGGATGCAGCCCCACATGAACCTCGAACACCTAACAGCACCAATTTTTTGGGGATCGCCTCCCTTTTCATGACTGACGGTGGAAACTGTCAAAGCCCTTCGCTTGGGTCAATTTACACAAGAGCATCTGCAGCTTTTGTAATTAGAGCTTTTGAGCCGGTAAGTCCGCATAGTTTCCTACAAATCGGAACCCAACATGTTCCATGAGATGCAAAAATGTTCTGTCCAATGGCATGGTCCAATATAGCATGGCTCATCTCGGGATTTTGCTAAGCTGCTTCAGAGGCTCATCCTCCTGCGCCAATACTTTGCTACGGCTGCATAGTCAAGTGGATTGAGTAGCTTGTAGCACTAAATTCAATACAGAAACCGGAAGGTGAGAATCTACGAAAAATCGGGTGCCCACGATGGCCATTCACATCGCCGACGCATTGTAAAGTTGTTTCCCCCACCCTATCTTTTGACATGACCTCTCACATGACCTTGACCTTGCTGTACGGCAGCAGGGTAGGTTCTCAGATTTGTTCCGAAGAAGCGGCTAGAAAGTTGTCAGGTTGCCGGCGTGACGGATCATCTCATGAGCCTTGTAGTATGAGCTGCGTCAGCAGCAGCATAGCAGCATAGCAGCTGCCAGGGAAGGGTTTGGGGATAGGAGATATATGGAGATATTCAAGTATTGGTGTTTTTTTAAGTTTATCATGATTGGCATTATTATTCGTATTTGTTATTAGTGTTTACTAGTATCGTCATTATTGTTATCATTGTTGTTCTCATTGTTATTGTTATTGTTAGTGGTACTATTATGGGTTTAGGAGCAGTCTTGCGCACCTCAAACACTAGAATCAGTTGGATGTTGTTTGTTGTGCATGGTGAGCCTGAAATCCTGCTGTCATTGACATGTCTTTATAGAAGACGGCTGTGCTTCTCGTTATTTCATGTCTTTCTGGGTCGACCATAAGGTGAGGCCCCTACCCCAAACCTAGCCTGTAGTAAGCCCACAAGTGTTGAACCCAAACCCCAGGCCCAGGCGAAACACCCAGTACGTACGTCCTTGAAAATTCCTTGAGAAACGTTGGCCTTAACGTGGAAATGTTTCATTGCCTCCAACACCCTAAAACCTAAGCAATTAACCCGACAAAGACATCCCCCAAAAACAAAAAGCCAAACCCTAAACCCCCCAGCTTCCCAAAACCTAGACCGGGCAGCAACCGCAAGCTGAGCCATCCAACAAAGTTGGGGACAGCTTGCCATATCCTCCTTGCTTGCAGAGCTACAGTCTGTCAGGAACATGCTTCTAGGGCTTATGCAAGGGCTCCTATGTAGTTCCTTTTGTGGTGAGGGATGATAAGATACCACCCCAAAAAAAGCTACATAGGAGGATCTGGGTAGGGTGTACTGTAGGGTTTGGGATCACGTAGAAGCCCGAATAACCAGTAAGATCACTCTTTTATGACCCTCACTCAGCATATAGTATATAGCATACCGCAAAAGCCTTTACAAGTTCTTACTATCAGATCTTCAGTTGGTTGCGGTGGGATACCTTGGATACTGGCACCCATTTGTCAACAGTCCCCCATACTTTAATGCAGCTCTATTGTGCTCGCATCCTTCCGAAAGCAAAGTTCAGCGAAGCCTTCCGGTGACTAGTTCGTCCTGCGACCCTCCTCGCACCATGGTATTACTGCTGTTTACTACTTACTTCTGATACCTTCGGGTCCCTGACCATTTGGTTTCTCCAATTACAAGTTGGATAATATGGGGATTATATCAGGATAATGGAAAAGAAAATGGAAACTACTACATTGTAGTAGGGTGTATATATATATATGTGTGTATATATATACACATAGATATTATGTATGCATTATATGTAATGTGAAAACAAGACAAGGATTAACAACCAACATTCTCCAACTAACTTGTATTTTGTCCTAACTAGCCACTACCCTCTTCCCCGATCTGAGGGTACCTTGAGGGCCTTTAGGACTCTAGGAAGGTATAGACTCTCTAGAAGGAGGTCCATGGGAACGAGCCGCGGCAGATAGGGTAACTTTCCACAAAACTCGCATGATTACTCTTGAAGCAGATTTCCTCCAATTTTTGCATCGCCTAACCTGAAATGCGTCCACTGCCATCGAAATGGCACATGCTCTTGCGCAGGGAGCACATCGGAGACCTTCGGAGGCCTCCACGATAAGGGGCTTATGGGACTTCCCTCACATGGGCACCCGTCAAAGGCTGGAGGGGCCAATGTAACGAAGATTTCGGGCTGAGTATCTTCAATTTGGTGGGGAGCTCTTGTGAAGCAGTCGCAAAACTCCTTGCACGACTTAGTCGCATCGGACCGAGGCAACCGTCTCTGTGGCGCTGATGCAGCTAAAATGCTTGATGGAAGGTCCAGCAGGGACAAAGAGGTGGTCCTAACCCTAAACCCTAGCATCCTATAGAACCCGCAAGTTTTTCATTCTGCCTTGCCAGCTCATTTCTGGCAAGCATGTTTTGGGGGCTCATGCCTTTCAGTAGATGAAGGACTGTGTGGCTTCGGGGTTTTTTCGGAGCGACCCTGTCATATGGTCTTGGGGAGTGGGAACCCAGGGAGACTTGTGGCTTTGACAACCATAGAATTGAAAGGTTAGGGTTTAGGGTTTAGCTGATTGAGTGGAGTCTACTGAGAAGCAGATATGAGATATCCATAAGAATGGACCATATACCCCATTTGGGAGGGGTGAAAGGCTCTCACAATGGGTATTTGGGAGGTCCAGACAGGGGTTCTGGCACTGATGTATGGGAGTTGCTTACAGCTAGCTTGTATATGTGCAGGCGAAGCTCGTACAATCCCTTTTGTTCCCTAGGCTCCTGTTCACGAAATTCCCTGATATCACCGTGTTGAGGTCAACGCAAAAAGTGTAGGTCAAGTTGGTCACGTGGAAGTTTGATCTTGCGACGTAGACATTGATTTAACGATGGGTATTGCAACAGAAGCCTAAATAGAGGGACCCATACCAATTTTTTTGGAAATCACCCAACCCTAAACCCTGAAACCCTAAACCCCTAAACCCCAAACCCCTAAAACCCAAACCCCTGAACCCCTAAACCCAAGAAGGGTCAAGGCTGCTTGTGCTTGATTTGCTAGTCCTTTGCTTTGCTTCAAACCGGGAATTGAGCTTGGAGGTGCATTTCAACGGAGGCCCAGGCAATTAATATAGGGACCTACATAATTAACAATATTATGGTCCTATACTGGAGAATCAAATGGAAAAGAACATGAAAATGAAACGGAAATTGGGGGTAATATAGGGATTTATA